GTAGTATCTGGAGCCCCAATTTTGAGAACAAATATTCTGGGTCTTAACAAAATACTGCCCTGCCTAACTTTCTGCTCAATTATGTTTTCCTTCTTGGACCTCAGAAATCCCCGAGGAGGTGGTCCCTGAAGCTTGGGAAGAAACACAGCTGTCTGCCATCGAATTCTCTATCACTACTCAGAACAGACATCTAGATTTGAAAGTAAGAATATGTCCACGAAAGAATCCTGAGCCTTCACTCCTCTTTCAGAATGCTGCTGCTTTATATATGGAGGAATAACAGACTACCCAAGTACCTTCAGGCGTCATGTCTTGGGTTTAACTTGAAACTGAGAACAGATTATTATGGAGATCTGTGTGCACAGGGATTCTCCTTTTAAAATGCCTGGGGTTCTGAATGCCATGTGTGTGCCTTTTAAAGTGAGAAGTGGCATATCTCACATGCTGTCCATAACCGATAGGTATCTATACCCAGGGGTTTGTGTGTCTGTTACAATTACTTGAAGGCTGCACATAAGGGACTGGATGTCTACTTTCTCAAATGCCCTGCTTTCCCCCCTTAAAACTCAGGAGGACAACAGTTCCCAGTCCTTTGGGTTACAAAAATGTGCTTGAAAAGTGTTTGAAGAACGCCTGATGAATCTCTAAAGCTGAAAGGGAGGCCAGATGAGAATATCCTATGATGGGAGGAGAGTTGGGCTTCATTGTTCCACTCCTTTTCCCATGATGTAAAATCAGTTTAACAAAGTACAATAGACCACACACACGTGGTTTCTTTTCCTAATTGCAAGATACAAGAAGAGACAGCTTAGCATACTGCACTTTTTTGCAAATAAAGTGGGACATTTGGTTCAGCTTTATTCTTGCCAAAATGAAACCTGTGGTCCAGTGGCAGAAACGAGTCCTGTTTCACAGAATTGCCTTGATGTATTAAGCAGACAAGGAGCCTTTGCCATTGAGGAGAGAAACTAGGTTTTTGGTGGGGGTGTGTGCGCGCGTGCGCGCAGATCCTGGTTCTCCTGAAAGAATGTTAGGTCAAGGGTTAGGCTAGTGTCATTCTATCTGTGAAACAATGTGAAAGAAACTGTTGTTCATGTTTAAAACACCCTTCCCTCTATGGGTTGTCTTCTGTCAAAACAGATTGTTTTGTTTTCTTTCTGGTCCTTTTTCAAGGAGTGGCCTCAGAAACATGTAGCCTCGCTTACCTATTTGGGCCCAACGCCAAGGCCTCCTGAAGAACCAGAGCAGAAGACTTCTAGGCTTCCTTTATACATCCGGCTTTACAAGAGGCTTGCACATTTTTGGACACCTGCCCCCAAAGGTAAGCAGAAGTGCATCAGATTTGCATTTTTTGGTTCCGAGAGCATTTCTACATCATTGTCTCCAAGTAACATGATGCTGCTTCAATGTACTATATATGAGCTACCCTTCCTTTGCTGTGTGAGTGTTCTTCTGTGCTGCTATAGTTTCTTCGCAGCTACAAGCATGAAATACCGATGAATGGAAACCTGGGACCCTGACCATTGACTGTGTTAATTTGGGAGACTACAGAGAGTTGTAGTCTAGTAGTATCTGGAGCCCCAATTTTGAGAACAAATATTCTGGGTCTTAACAAAATACTGCCCTGCCTAACTTTCTGCTCAATTATGTTTTCCTTCTTGGACCTCAGAAATCCCCGAGGAGGTGGTCCCTGAAGCTTGGGAAGAAACACAGCTGTCTGCCATTGAATTCTCTATCACTACTCAGAACAGACATCTAGATTTGAAAGTAAGAATATGTCCACGAAAGAATCCTGAGCCTTCACTCCTCTTTCAGAATGCTGCTGCTTTATATATGGAGGAATAACAGACTACCCAAGTACCTTCAGGCGTCATGTCTTGGGTTTAACTTGAAACTGAGAACAGATTATTATGGAGATCTGTGTGCACAGGGATTCTCCTTTTAAAATGCACACACTGGGGTTCTGTATGCCATGTGTGTGCCTTTTAAAGTGAGAAATGGCATATCTCACATGCTGTCCATAACTGATAGGTATCTATACCCAGGGGTTTGTGTGTCTGTTACAATTACTTGAAGGCTGCACATAAGGGACTGGATGTCTACTTTCTCAAATGCCCTGCTTTTCCCCCTTAAAACTCAGGAGGACAACAGTTCCCAGTCCTTTGGGTTACAAAAATGTGCTTGAAAAGTGTTTGAAGAACGCCTGATGAATCTCTAAAGCTGAAAGGGAGGCCAGATGAGAATATCCTATGATGGGAGGAGAGTTGGGCTTCATTGTTCCACTCCTTTTCCCATGATGTAAAATCAGTTTAACAAAGTACAATGGACCACACATACGTGGTTTCTTCTCCTGATTGCAAGATACAAGAAGAGACAGCTTAGCATACTGCACTTTTTTGCAAATAAAGTGGGACATTTGGTTCAGCTTTATTCTTGCCAAAATGAAACCTGTGGTCCAGTGGCAGAAACGAGTCCTGTTTCACAGAATTGCCTTGATGTATTAAGCAGACAAGGAGCCTTTGCCATTGAGGAGAGAAACTAAGGGTGTGTGTGTGTGCGTGCAGATCCTGGTTCTCCTGAAAGAATGTTAGGTCAAGGGTTAGGCTAGTGTCATTCTATCTGTGAAACAATGTGAAAGAAACTGTTGTTCATGTTTAAAACACCCTTCCCCTTTAAAATGATTATAATAATCTTACTTGTAATGGCTTTGCTATATTTCATAAACAGGAAGTGAAACCGAGAGGCTTTTTTCTCATTGCCTCCTTGATCAGGTACATAAACAGAACAGGCATGCCCTAGATGTTAATGCAAAATGATATTCTTAATCCTCTAAGTTTGGTAAGAAGGTGAAGGTAGGCTCACAGAAAGATAAGGGATTTGAGTCTGCATGCGCATGAATGTGAACTTGGTTTCGTTAAACCTGACTGTGCCATTTAACTGTACAAGTCTTCTTCCCCGTGGCACAGTGGTTAAACTGCTGTACTGCAGCCAAAACTCACGACCCAGGTTTCAATCCCAGGTAGCTGTCTCAAGGTTGACTCAGCCTTCTATCCTTCTGAGGTCAGTAAAATGAGTACCCAGCTTGCTGGGGAGGCAATGTGCAGCCTGCATAATTAACTTGTAAATTGCCCCAGAGAGTGATTTAAGCACTATAGGGTGGTAGATAAGCAACATGCTTTGCTTTGTGGAAATGGTCTGCACGGAGTGGGTGGAGGAGTAGTTCCTTCCCACTCTGGTTCCAGGACAAGGATGCAATGTTCCATATGCATTAGTAAGCACTCAGCTTCCCAACACTGCTCTCTAACATTCCACCGGTTAGGTATCTCAGGCTGGCCACTGCATGATTTGTTGAAGCTCTTCTAGTTGCTTGGCCCTTCTCCAAAATAATCCTTCTCTCTTTCCAAAATGATCCTTCTCTCTTTGTGTCACATTGCAGGAAAATGGCAGTAGGGAGTAAACTTCCACTGTTTTGCATAGCACTTTCATTGCCTAGGGGACCAGAAACTGTGCACTTATGCTTGTTTTTGTGGCTGTGATAGTTCTCAAGACCAGACTAGATATTCAGTAAATGATGGCTTAGCAAGACCTACTTACAGTACTGCCAAGAATGACTGCAAAATGTTGGGGAAGGAAAAACAAGGGTGTTCAATCTTTCCCCAGGTGCTCTTTATCTCCCTCCACCCCTTCCCTCGATATTTGTTTCCTCAGCTGCAAAAGATGTGCATTTGCCTCATCCCTTAGAAGAAGACCGTTAGTAGAATAGCTGTGGATATGGCATATCTCACATGCTGTCCATAACCGATAGGTATCTATACCCAGGGGTTTGTGTGTCTGTTACAATTACTTGAAGGCTGCACATAAGGGACTGGATGTCTACTTTCTCAAATGCCCTGCTTTCCCCCCTTAAAACTCAGGAGGACAACAGTTCCCAGTCCTTTGGGTTACAAAAATGTGCTTGAAAAGTGTTTGAAGAACGCCTGATGAATCTCTAAAGCTGAAAGGGAGGCCAGATGAGAATATCCTATGATGGGAGGAGAGTTGGGCTTCAGTGTTCCACTCCTTTTCTCATGATGTAAAATCAGTTTAACAAAGTACAATGGACCACACATACGTGGTTTCTTCTCCTGATTGCAAGATACAAGAAGAGACAGCTTAGCATACTGCACTTTTTTGCAAATAAAGTGGGACATTTGGTTCAGCTTTATTCTTGCCAAAATGAAACCTGTGGTCCAGTGGCAGAAACAAGTCCTGTTTCACAGAATTGCCTTGATGTATTAAGCAGACAAGGAGCCTTTGCCATTGAGGAGAGAAACTAAGGGTGTGTGTGTGTGCGTGCAGATCCTGGTTCTCCTGAAAGAATGTTAGGTCAAGGGTTAGGCTAGTGTCATTCTATCTGTGAAACAATGTGAAAGAAATTGTTGTTCATGTTTAAAACACCCTTCCCCTTTAAAAATGATTATAATAATCTTACTTGTAATGGCTTTGCTATAGTTCATAAACAGGAAGTGAAACCAAGAGGCCTTTTTCTCATTGCCTCCTTGATCAGGTACATAAACAGAACAGGCATGCCCTAGATGTTAATGCAAAATGATATCCTTAATCCTCTAAGTTTGGTAACAAGGTGAAGGTAGTCTCACAGAAAGATAAGGGATTTGAGTCTGCATGCGCATGAATGTGAACTTGGTTTCGTTAAACCTGACTGTGCCATTTAACTGTACACACAAGTAATGCTTTCATCCGACTTACCTCCCAAACACTGTTTTCCCCCAAGGAGTGGGAGAAGCTAATTATTTTATTCGGAGTCAGAAAGAGGAATTAACTGGATTTCAGAGGAACATGTATATAAGACATTCTGGTTATTAACACGAATGTGTCCTTTTGTTCTGAACATTTCTTTTAGCGCACAGAAGACTTCATGAATATTTGCATCGAACCAGATACTGTTAGTAAAGGAGACTACATAAAAAGAGGGTGAGTACTAAAGTGCCAGGGAATGCATCTGACTTAGAGATGGGATATTCGTATACAAATACCCTGGACCAGGTGACCAGGATCCCCAGTCCTGCCAGCCCGAACCAACCCGTCCATATAAAGGTTGCCAGGCAGTGCACACAGCTAGCATCGTGCTCATCACACCAATCTCGGACAAAGCCTGGCGGACGCTTCTCTACCTTCCTGCTCTTCTGGCCACACCAGCCAGGGGGTGGGATAATGAGTCTCCCAGCTCAGCTGCTGAGTGGCCAGAAAAGCAGGAAAGTGGAAAAGCACCAGCCAGGCTTCGTCTGAGATTGGCATGAAGAGCAGGATGCCAAACAGATGCACTGCACGACCACCCCTAAGTGGACAGGTCGGTTCAGGGAAGTGGGACTGGGGGTATCTCAGCCACCTGAATCCTGGGTATTTGTATAAGAATACGAATATTCTATCTCTACTTATAATATGCACAGCATTTATTAAGCATATTGTTTTATTTTATTTTGGGTTATAGTTAACCTTAAAAGGAAGGGAGTATTAAAATTAGATACGTTGGATTTTATTGTCAAGCTGAAATCTGTATCAGTGTTTCTGCTAGGCTGGTGCCCCTGTTGTGAATGAAACCTCTTACTTATCTCAGCGGTGTATCAGAGTCAGTCAATAAGAATATGAAGTTCTTAGTCATTAATCCCAGTTTTTAACTTGTGATTTCCGGGACCCTCACAAAGCTGCTGATCAGCACCCTGTGCCCTTGAATCTGTATGTGACTTCCTACTGCTGACTTGTGGTGACATTACATATTATTGTGCCTAAATTTGATGGTGGAGCAGGGAGCAATTCAGGTTTATCATGTAGATGGGTTTAAGACACGTACCAACATCCTACACAGTTATCTGAGGATCTGGGCAAAGGTGTTGCACTTCATACTTTGGGCTCCACTCCACACATGAAGACAAGCGAGAGAAAGGATTTGTCATTCTTTAAATGAAAATGGAATAGCATATGTATTTTGTGAAAAGAAGGTGAAGCTTGTTTCTGTTGACTAGGATCTGAGGCACTGGGAGGCATGGGTGCAAATGCCAGTTAAAGAAAGTCATCACCGTGAAATACTGGTGAAATACTCTCCATACACTGAAGAGCAGAATCATGTAGCACAATGTAGAAAGGCATCATTTTATGTAGAAAATCAGAATCATGGCACAATGTAGAAAGGCATCTAGCAGCCCCATTTATTTGTATTTTCCTTTATCAGCATTTTTTTAATGTATTTATAGCACCTGCATAGTGTTACTGATAATCTAAAGGATCTCGGAATTGTTGTCGATCACAAGCTGAATATGAGCCAACAGTGAGAAGTGGCTGTAAAAAAAGGCAAATGCAATTTTGGGATGCATTAACCCAAGTATAGTCTCCAAATCCTGTGAGGTACTAGTCTCCCTCTATTTAGCACTGGTTAGGCCTCATTTTGAGTACTGTTTACAGTTCGGGACACTGCACTTTAAGAAGGATGCCAACAAACTGGAGCAAGTTTGAAGGATGGCAACAAGGATGATCAGGGGACAGGAAACCAAGCCCTGTGAGGAAAGACTGAAAGAACTGGGCACATTTAGCCTTGAGAAAGGAGACTGAGGGGAGATATGATAGCACTTTTCAAGTACTTGAAAGGTAGTCATACAGAGGAGGAGCAGGATCTGTGCTCTGTCACTTCCAGAGTGCACGACATGTAATAGTGGACTCAAACTACAGGAACCCAGATTTTGGCTGAATATCAGAAAACCTAACTGTTAGAGCAGTATGGCAATGGAACCAATTACCTTGGGAGGTGTTAAGTGCTCCAGTGGTGGAGGCATTTAAGATAAAATTGGACAACCATCTTGTCAGATTTGCTTTGATTTGGATTCCTCCATTGAGCAGGGGGTTGAACTTGATGGACTTATAAGCCCCTTCCAACTCAGGTATTCTGTGATTCTGTGATTTCGAACTCTTATCACTGGCCATCTTGCACTTAAGGAAGTTGGAACATAGACACTTGATTTAGTAAATTGGTTTGGAAATTGGGTGTCACACACAAACAGCTATCTCTTTTTTGTGTTTGTTCCCAAGTGCCTTGGAAACCATGATGGCTGAAAGGAGGTCTGTACATAAATGAACACAGCTGATAGTGTGTCTTAGGAAAGACAGGAAAATGGAGACGTTTGGTGTCATGTTTTCAGTGTACTTTCCAAAATAAGCCAGTACATCTAACGTAACTTGGAGATATGTCCCATTTTCTGGATGGCTCCAGATGTTGCTCATCTGATGGTGGAGTGCATATAATGAGTGCATTCGAGTCTTCATAGTTCATGTCTTCTTCCAGTGCTGGGAATACCAAATAGCAGAATTACTTGCCACGATTCCAACAGCTTTTAAGAAACCAGCTGTTTCCATTTCAGGCTTGAAATACTGAAGAGGGAAGGAAGGGCAGAGAAAACAGAAGGAGCAGTGCTGGGCAGAGATCTCTAGTGAGCAGATTAAATTTAGAATTGGGCAGGGATTAGCTGGCAAAGGCCCATGCAGGGACACTGTTAGTGTAAATGGTTGCTAAAGAAAACCTTCAAAAGGTAGCTCCCCTTAGGCCATGTGCTAACCATATGCTATGTGCTCATGATTGCTTTTCCCAAAATCCCAGTGGATCTGAGAAGTGCAGTTGTTGTGAGCTCTGGATTCTGAAAAGTCTTAGGCTAATGACAGCATGAGAAAATGCTGTTAAATCAGTGAGAAGTTAGGTTTCTGCAACATTTAGCTAAAACTTTTTCTAAAGATGACTTCTGGGCTAGGATCCAAGGAAGGGACACATACAGTGGTGCCTCCACTTACGACCATAATCCGTTCCGGAATGATGGTCGTAACTCAAAATGGTCATTAAGTCGAAGCACCGTTTCCCATAGAAATGCATTGAAATGCAATTAATCCATTCTGACCAAAGAAAAAAAATCATCCAAAAATCACTGCAAGACTCATTGGAAACAGGATTAATCCCTTCTGGCCGAAGGGGAGAAAAAAGAAAAGAAAAGCAAGGGAACATGCAGGACCCATTGCAAAAGCACAGAAAACGAACAGAGCAGATTGGAAATGCAGAGAGAACAAAGGGACTAGGTCGGAAATGCACAGAAAGCAAAGGAAAAAGCAAGGGGAGCATGCAGGACCCATTGCAAAAGCACAGGAAACAAACGGAGCAGATTGGAAATGCAGCGAGAACGAAGGACCAGGTCAGAAATGCACAGAAATCAAATGGAGCAGATCAGAAATGCAAAGAGAACAAAGCAAAAAGCAACTGAAGCATGCAAGACACATCGAAAAGGGGGAACCCCAAAAAGCAACCAAACCCCCCAAGACCCATTGGAAATTGGGGGGGACCAAAAAACAAACCAACCCCCCAAGACCCATCAGAAATGGGGGAAAAAATACCAAAAAGAAAACAACCCCAAGACCCATCAGAAATGGGGAAAAAAATACCAAAAAGCAACCAACCTCCCCCTTGGAAAGGGGGGGAACCAAAGAACAACCCCCAAGACCTATCACAGCATAGAAACATAACCCCCTCCCAGCTGAAAACCACACTGCAAAAATACCAAGAACAGTTTTAACCATAAAGCAGCACCATACCTTAGCAGGCAGCCTCCTCGGATCGTATACTCCCTAACTGCCAGTGTGAAAGAGCTACAAAGAAGCAGCCTCTTCCGCCACCTACAGTTAGCAATTTGAATTTCCCTCCCTTTTTCCCCTGCCTTTTTCTGTTCGTAAGTGGAAGCTCCGGTCACAAGTAGAAGTAACATTTTGCGGCCAGAGCTGGTCGTAAGTAGGGATGTTCGTAAGTGGAGGCACCACTGTATATGTATGGTTGAATTTTCCTTTTTGATGTTGCCATGATGATTCCTAATTACAAAGAAAATCTGGTTTCAGTTGCAAATAAAAGATTGGCCAGCATTGTGTTTGAATTACTGCAGGTGCCATTGAAGTTGTAGAACCAGATGCAGCTAATTGACAGGGTGCTTGCTATGTAAGCCTGGTCATGTGACTGGCAAATGACAGGCACTTTGTCACTTAGGAGCATCACTTTCCCTGTTTGTCATTGCATGTGCAATATTTCACAGTATTACTGACTGTGGCCTAATTTTGTCTGAAGTGTAAGAAAAAAAAACCAGGAAAAGCTCTAATTGCATGCACTGATTGTGTGTTTATGCGTTTGAAGCCTAGCTCTAATATCCTCCAGTCCAGTGGTTCCCAACCTTGTGTAACCCAAGTGTTCTTGAACTGTAATCCCCAGAATCCTTCACCACTAGCTGTGCTGGTTAGGGGTTTCTGGGAGTTGCAGTCCAGGGTCGTTAGGGGTTTCTGGGAGTTGCAGTCCAAGGCACAGGATACTCGAAGTTGGGAACCACTGCTCTAGTCCCTAAGACGTCATGGTAGCTTGGCTAGTAAGGAGCACATTGCATGTGAATAGTTCCTTTTCTGAAGCTAAGTAGATTTGTCGACACTCAGGGCTTGGATAAGTGACTGCCTGAGAATCAGACTAGATGATAGGGGAAATGTGTATTCCCTGCCACTGTTTACTTTACCATGACAGATCACAAAACAAAGCATGCTAAATGCAAGAAATGTAGGTAAGGAAAATCAAACACTATGACAGGCATGTCTTCTACCACTTGAGGGAGCACCTGTGCACAAACACTATGAGAATCTGATTTGACCCCAAGATTTCTGTGAATGCAGCCTTGCGTCCTGGGGGAGGAAATAAACAGAGCAACATCTCTTGTCAAACCGCCATTATTACGTTTCTATACACATCATCCTGTGAATGTAGTTATTTATGATGATCTGACTTGTTGTACTAAATATATAGTTTTTATTTTAACTCCTGTGTATGTATGTTTGCCTTATTTTCCTCTCTGTTACTTTTTGCCCTTCTATTTTCAATCCCTTCCTCCTTGTCACCAAAAACATCTCTCTTTCACAGT